TGAGATTAGACCACACCCTTTATGATGAATCAGTAGATGCAGTAAAAGGGTGTGCAGGATGACCTCCCTGTCAGTAGGTGGCACTTGCAGGGCGGAGGGAGCTGCAGTGCTGTTTTTGGGTCCTGTAGCCAGCTCTTGTTCCTCTGGAGAGGCCCTCTTGTGCCGCAGGAGGTGGGTGGGGCCCCGGGACTTGCAAATGTGTCCTCATTCTCCACCTCAGTGGGGGCAGGACCGGGAGTGAGTCTGGGCGGGGCTGGGTTGGGTAAGCCTACCCTCAGGCTCCATAACTGCTGTTAGCAGGGGTCAAAGATCTGTTTTTTGTTTCTGTGCAAAAATGCTGGGAGGGGCTGAAATGGCTTCACTCAGCTGAAAAGTCTGGGCTTGCAGGGGTGGTGTTGTCTGGAGCCTGCACTCTGGAGCAGGTCTCGCTCCCCTCCCCCCTCCCCCACTCCGTGGCCTCTCCCAGGCCTCTGCCAGCAAGTGGGACCTCAGGCCAGTGGATCTCCCCTGGCTGTGATGTGGGCTGGGAGATTCCCTACCCAGGATCTGAGCCTGAACTGGGTGCACAGCCCTCTTTTGGGAGGAAGGTTGCCACTCAGGCATGCTGATCTGCCCCTGAAGGTGCACACTCCTCAGTAGGCTCTTTCACAGATCTTCCTTCTGTGCCCGAGAGCAGTACAATCGTGACCTGGGTGTACAGGGTCTGGTCTGCAGGCCTGTCCCCTGGGCCCTGGAGATCAACCCCTGTCCCTGCCAGAGGGAGGGGTGCTGGTCTCAAATCACCTACAGGGTGCCCAAGTTGGATCGATTTCACTCCACCTCGGGATTTGCCCTGCTCTCCTAGAGTCACCAGGCAAGCAGCACCTGGGAAGGCTGGCAGTAGGGAGCTTGCAGTCTGAGTACCCCTCAGCCTGCTGTAGGGCCCCAAAAGGAAAGGTTCCATACCTTGGAGATGCTTCTGTGTGATGGCTAAATTGTCTCTCTGGGCACCCACAGGTAGGGAAGGGGAAGAAGAGAATGGAGCTATATGGTGTCTGCCTATAGGCTCGGGTGTGCGTGCCAGGAGGTGCTGCGAGGGAGCTGGGAGCTTGGTGCCGTGTTGCAAGACGCTCACTCCTCACTGGCAGCAGCTGTCTCTGGGCTGGTGTTGGCAGGTCTCTCCAACTGCTCAGGAGCCCACCGAGATGCAAGGGAGGGGAAAGTTATCCGCCCTACCTACCCTTGTCGCTGGTCTCCAAGCTTCTCGGGGACCTCTCTCCTTCCAGTTCTCCTCCGCAACGTCTTCCCGTGGAGTCTCTTGTAGTTTCAGGCACCCTTCCTTCCGACCCTCACCTGATCTATGTTTTTCTGCTAGTTTATTTTTTTCACTTTCTTCTAAAATCTGTCTTTTTTGCAGAGACACTCTGGCGGCTTTTCTCGTCCACCATCTTGGCTCCTCCTGTACTTTTCTTATACTATCTTTGTCTGGTATTGGTATTAAGGTATTTCTGGCCTCAGATAATGAGTTAAGAAGTATTCCCTATGCTTCTATCTTCTGGAAGACATTTTAGAAAATTGATATAAATTCTTTCTTAAATGTTTGGTAAAATTCACCAGTGAACCCATCTGGGTCTGGTACTTTCTGTTGGTGAAGGTTATTAGTTACTGAGTCAATTTCTTTAACAGATATAGGCCTATTAATATTGTCTGTTTCTTTTTGTGTGGGTGTTTGCAGATTATGGCTTTCAAGGAATTCATGCAATTCACTTAAGTTATCAAATTTGTGGGCATAGAGTTCTTCATAGTATTCCTTTATTATTCTTTTAAATGTCCATGGGATCTGTAGTTGTGTCCCATTTTTCATTTCTGAAATTAGTAGTTTGTGTCCTCTCTTTCCCATAGATAGTCTGGCTAGAGGCTTATACATTTTATCAGTCTTTTCAAAGAGCCAGCTTTTGGTTTTGTTGATTTTCTCTATTGATGTCCTGTTTTCAATTTCATTGATTTCTGCTCTAATTCTTTTCTTTTTTTTTTTATCCGTACCAGCTTTATTTGTAGTAGCCAAAATCTGGAAATAATCCAAATGTCCATCAACAAGTAAATGAAGAACAATTTGTGGTACATTCACTCAATGAAATACTACCTAATTTAATAAGAATTCTGCTCTAATTCTTATTCTTTTCTTCTGCTTACTTTGGATTTAATTTGCTCTTCTTTTTGTAGTTTTGAGTTCTGAAATATTTTGGGTGATACAATTGCTTCCAGATTTGTTGGTTGGCTTTCTGTAGGGGAGAGTGCATCCTAGTCACTCCTACCCTGCTATTTTGCTGAAGTCACTCAGAAGTTTTGCATTTTATTTCACATTTTCTAGCCATTGCTTCTAATTCTTTTCATTGTGTAATTGGAATTGTGCTTTTAATTAAACTTATTTTGAAATAATTGTAGATCTACATGCAGTTATAAAAATAAAACAAGTAAATCTCATGTACTATTTACCCAGTTTTCTCCAATGATAACTTTTTGCAAAATTATAGTGCAGTATCACAACTAGGATATTGACATTTATACAGTCAAGATACAGAACATTTTCATCATCACTCCCTCATGTTGCCCTTCTGTACCTGCATCTATTTCCTTCCTACCCCCATCCCATCCTCAAACTCTGGCAACCACTACTCTGTTCTCCAGTTCTATAATTTTGTCATCTTAAGAATGTTACATAAATGAAATAACACACTATTTAATCTTTTTTGGGATTGGCTCTTTTCACTCAGCATAATTCCCTGGAGATTCATATAGATTGCTGTGTTTATTAACAGTTCATTTTTTAAATCACTGAGTAATAATTTGTGGTATGGATTGCCACCCTTTATTTAATGATTTGCTTGTGAAAGTACCTGGGTTTTCCGGTTCTTGTCTATTACAAATAAAGCTGCAAAAAATGTACATATTTGTACAAGTTTTTTGTGTGTGTGTGAACATAAGATTTAATGTCTTTGGGATAAATACAATTTCTGGATTGTATGGTGGTGGCATGCTCTGCTTGTAAAGAAACTTCCAAACAGTTTTCTGAGGGACTATGTTATTTGGTAGTCCCATCAGGCAAAATATGAGTTGTCTAGTTTCTCTGCATCCTTATGAGCATTTGGTGTGGCCATGATTTTTTTATTTTAGCCATTCCAATAGGTATACTGTGGAATCTCATTGTCATTTTAACTTGCATTTCCCAATTGGCTAATGATATTTAATAGCTTTTAATGTTCTTATACACCATTTGTATATCTTCTTCAGTGAACTATCTCTTCATATCTTCTGCTCAAGTTCCAATTGGATTGCTTACTTTTTACTGTTGAATTTTTAAAGTTCTCCACACAGTCTAGATACTAGCTCTTTATTAAATATATGGCTTGCCAATATTTTCTCCCATAAAGTTCAATTTTTCAATGTTTCCTTTTATTGATTATACTTTTGCTTTTGATGCCAAGTCTAAGAACTGTCTGCCTAATGTTTTAGTTCTTACCCTTTGCTACATGTTGACACACACATGGGAAAAGACACAGTCAGGAACAAGGATTGGGCTCCTGAACTCAGGCTTGGAGTAAGGTGGGTGGAATAAGGGTATGTTCTTCCAAGGCCTATGTAGGGCATCTACAGATGGGTACCTAACATACTGGATCCTACCGAATTATCTACCAAGGTGAAAGTGCCGAAAAATGAAGTTTTCAGATATGCAAGCACTCAGAAAGTTTCTCTTCTGCTGGCATTTTATAAAGTCTTTCATCAGTGCATTGGTCATCTTATTTATTCATAGTTTTAAATTCTATGAGCAATAAATGTTTATTTCAACAATTTCAGACCTTACAATGTGAATAAAAAAGTGGAGATACTCTCCCTCCCTGTTTCCCTTTGCACTTCCATTCTTACTCCAGTGGCTATACATACATATACACTTACATACTTTTTAACATAATGAATTTATACTTTTACATTTTGTTCCACATCTTAATTTTCCTACTTATATGGCTTTCCAAGGCAGTAATAGAGATACATTTGTTTGATTCTTTGAGCCTGCTACATATAGTTATGCTTTATGGAATTAATCATAACATCTTTCTTCATTTCCCTATTGATAAGATTTAGGTTGTTACCATTTTTTATCTCTTATAAACTGGTATTTCCTGAATATCTTTGGATATATATCTTTGCATACATATCTCACTATACAATATACATTTACAATAATATTCCTCAATACAAATTTGCAAAATAATACTTCTCTAGGCTAGAGTCCTAGGAATGGGAGTTTCTAAATAGAGTATTAAATCACATATTTTAAACACATAGTTTAGGGACAGGTGGAGAGAAGAAACGTAAAATGAATAATTTCCACGTTATCACTCTTCATTCTTGTTCTTTCTGACCATGAGTATTTTTTAATTGCATGGTAAAATATAACAGAAATTAAAAGGAAATAATGCCACAGTTGTATAATAAAGGAAGGATAGAAAGAGAAAAGTAAAAGTAAAAACTTAAGACTTATGTAAGAAAATATTTTTACAAAGAGAAAAATAAGGAATTAGAAAAATCCTCAAAATGAAAAAATTAGCTAAAATATGTATCTCCCCTTCCCTCTCTTCCTCCATTATTTCCCTCTTCAAATGTTTGCAAAGACATTAAACAGCTACAAATTATGTTTTTGTTTTCAGTCATTGAAATGTGAAGAATTTTGGAGGGTCAGTGTTAATAAACAGAGAGAAATTCATTTGGGCCATATTGTGGCAAAAGGATTCGTTTAAAGCAGTATTTGGAAGATGAGAAAGTAGAGAAATGAATCTTCCTAGGAAGGAGGAGGAATAGGGAGGAAGAGCATTGTGATTTAAGCAGATGCTGGGCCACTTGGTGGGCTGTCATCAATGGATGTAAGTGCCCACAATAGCCTTGTCTCACATGGGTCAAAACTACTAGCCTCGCACAGCTTGGTTGTTTGCCAAGAGTCAGTAGAAACCAGGTCTGACTGGGGCAGATTGCATTTGTGGGTTTAAGAGGGTGCTGTTCAGGACCTCCTCTTGCCCATGAGCTTCCTCAGGCCCTGTTTCAGGTCTTTGTTTCTCAGGCTGTAGATAAAAGGGTTTAGCATGGATGACAAAACTGTGTAGACAATTGTTGCCATGTGGTCCTTGACAGTGTAGGTGGACATGGGCTGTAAATAGACGTAGAAGATGCTTCCATAAAAGAGTGTTACCACAGTGAGGTGAGAACCACAGGTGGAGAAGGCTTTGCGTTTCCCAGCGGCGGAGGGAATCTTGAGAACCGTTACAAGGATTCGTGCGTAGGAGAAAACAATGCATAGAAAGGGAGTCACTAAAACAATAGGTCCTTCTGTCATGATCACAATTTCATTGACAAATATAGAGGAGCAGGACAAGTTCAACAGAGGGTTGAGGTCACAGAGAAAGTGGTGGATAACATTGGAGTCACAGAAGATGAGAAGATTCAGCAGAAGTGTGTGCAGGAGGGAGTGGAGGTGAGGAAATGAGCAGGAGAAGGCCACCAGGAGGACACAGCGGTGGTGGCTCATGGTGGTGACATAGTGGAAGGGGTCACAGATAGCCACATAGCGATCAAAGGCCATGATTGCCAGCAGGCAGCTGTCAGTGTTGCCCAAGGCGTAGAGAAAATACATCTGTGTCAGACACCCCGCATAGGAGATAGTCTTCTTTTCTGATAGGAAGTTCATCAGCATCTTGGGGACAACGGTTGTTGTGAAGCAAATGTCAGTGAAAGACAGAAAACTCAAGAAGAAATACATGGGGGTCTGGAGCTGGGGGTCAGAGCGGATGGCCAAGATAATGAGCAGGTTCCCCATTAGTGTGACCAGGTACACAGTGAGGAACATGACAAAGAGCAGCTTTTGGTCCTCAGGCCGGGAGGAGAGTCCCAGGAGGATAAATTCAGACACACTACTGGTTTGGTTGATTCTTTCCATTGACGTTGGCCCAGTTATACACAAGAAGTTTTGTTATTTAACATGCTCTGATTTCATAACACAAAATCATGAGAATCTAGCGAGTCTTTGCTTCCTCTGTTTGGTCACATTAGCTTCCAATTGTGGCACAGCCTGTCAACCTCATGTGTTTGATCATGGTGTGGTCCTCCCTTCCCAAATCCATGGGCCTCACAAGGGCCTGATATTGAAATCTGGGGGACAGAGAAGAGTTTTCCTTTAGAAATCATCAGAGGTGGACCTCCCTGATTCAGATGCATTAGTTCCTATTCTGTGGAGAACACTATTCCCCTTCTGGGGACATAGCAATAGTGCACACGGATCCCTTTTGTGGGGCTTATGTTCTAGTTGGGGAGATACACTACAAATAGGGATGCATTTGTGAACAAAATAAAGCAGTATTTGGGATGGAGATGGATGGGGAGATGGAAGGTGGGACTGTTTCAGGTAGGGAGGTCACAGGACACTCATTCTCTCTTTTTCTTTTTTTTTTTTTTGAGACAGAGTCTTGCTCTGTTGTCTCAGCTAGAGTGCAGTGGCATCAGCCTAGCTCACAGCAACGTCAAACTCCTGGACTCAAGTGATCCTCCTGCCTCAGTCTTCCAAGTAGCTGGGACTACAGGTGTGTGCTACCATACCTGGCTAATTTTATCTATTTTTTAGTTGCCTTGCTAATTTCTTTCTATTTTTAGTAGAGATAGGGTCTCGCTGTTGCTGAGGCTGGTCTCGAACTCCTGACCTCAAGCAATTCTTTTGCCTCTGTCTCCCAGAGGGCTAGGATTACAGGCGTGAGCCACCATGGCCAGTCAACACTCATTCTCTATCAAAGCAAATTCAGTTGTGTCATGCTGAAGTTTATCTTTGCATTGTCTTGAAAAAAGTGCAAATCTAGGAGAAATGTTGAATTCAGCTGGACAGAGTGATTTTTTTCTCCTCTGGGCACAAAATGAGAGATTCATCCTCTCCAGTTCCTGACATACTATCATCATCAGTCTGCACAAGTCTCCCCTTTTTGTAAATTGTTTTTCCCTTCTTTAATCCCCTGACCTAAACCACATTTGTACAGAATGGGCATCCATTGTTAAGTATAAACTTTATGTTTTTCTAATTCATCTTTCATATGTTTATCCAAAAATATCTATGAGTAACATGTTCATTTTTTGTATACACGTCTTTTCCAGTCATATCTAGTTACCTAGCAATAGAACATCAAAGTGGCCTCCATTTCTTGCTACTACAAAAAACTGCAGTAAAAGTTCTTGTATCAGCAAAATGTTTAATTTTTAGAGTAAGCCAATTCATCCATACCTGTGAATAGACAGAGATTTTCAAGAGATTTTCAAGCATTTCAAAATATTATTTATCTATTCTTCGCTACCATAAAAATCTCTACAGCGAACATGCTTGCATCACCAAAATGTTTAAAATAACTTCTTTAGAGTCAGCATATTCTTTCGCACATTGTGAACAGACCTGATACGTTGGAATTTTCACACACCTAAAAACGTTGTCTGTTTACATATTACCTTTTTAAAAAATTAAATGCCTGTGTTTGTATTGTAAAATTACTAAGCATTTTAAAATGTCAGTTTTCTAAGGTGTAAAATCAAACACAAATATCTACATTGTCCTGAGGCTTGAATGAGATAACGTATTTAAAGTACTTAGAAGAGGGACAAGTATACTGTAAAGCTCAGAAAAAGCTGTTGTTCACCATCAACTTCAGTGTCATCTTCCCTCGTCTGCTATTCCTGGACGGTCTCTAAATTTATTAATTCACATGCTTGAAATATCGTATCCCTTACTGCCTGTGAGACTAAGTTCATGAGTTTTTAAGATTTTATAGAAGAAATATTTGTTTATGCATTAAACAATTCGAGTGAATCAGTAAGGTCAATAATAATAACCAATATTTATTGAAAATTTGTTAGTATCAGGTACATGAGAAGCAACTCACTAAATCTCATAGTAAGGGATTAAGAGGCACACGTGCTTACTTTTACCGTCTCACAAGCACAAGGCTTAGAAAGGTGAAGTGATTTTGGCTTGGCGCAGTGGCTCACGCCTGTAATCCCAGCACTCTGGGAGGCCTAGGCAGAAGGATCGCTTGAAGTCAGGAGTTTGAGACCAGCCTCAGCAAGAGTGAGACTCTATCTCTACTAAAAATAGAAAGAAATTAGCCAGGCAATTAAAAATTGAAAAATTAGCCAGGCATGGTGGCGCATGCCTGTAGTCCCAGCTACTTGGGAGGCTGAGGTGGAAGGATTGCTTGAGCCCAAGAGTTTGAGGTTGCTGTGAGCTAGGCTGACACCATAGCACTCTAGCCCAGGCAACAGAGAAAGACTCTGTCTCAAAAAAAAAAAAAATAAAAAATAGAAAAAAAGAAGGGTGAAGTGATTTGTGCAATGTTTAAGGAAGTGAATAGTAACGAGGGTTCGAACCCCAAACTTCCGCACACACATGCACACACATATGCACGACTGTGCTATATGTCATATATATGTCTGTGATGTGGCATTATGTTTTCCTCAGTTTGATAATTTTCTATTGGAACTGCCCCTCCCCCACCAGACACAACTGACACACTTTCTTGTCCTATGTTTGCAATGTATCCTTGTAGTTGCTAGGGAGATGACCTATCATTCTGTGTTGTACAGATGGTGGGATTTGAAAAATTCAACACCTGTGAGTGGCCACAATCGGGTGGGTAAAATGGGCCGTGCATGGGTGGGGCGTGTCAGGGGATGTCAGGGTGTGGAGTTGTGGCAGTGCAGTGGACGGTGCCCTGGACTTGAGACAAAATATGCGAGTTTGATTTGTCCTCTATCACCTGCTCACAAGCTGATGCTTGATCTTTTATGAATAGCTAGTGAGATACCATGTCGGAAAAGCAGTTTTTCAAATACAGATTATTATTTAAAAATGAGTCATTCATGAAAAGGCTACCTGGGGAATGCAGAATAAAAAAAAAGAGTAGAGATTGGGTTGAGGTTGGATGCTCGAGTCTAGGTTGCAGGCATGAGGATCACTCATGCTTATGACTAGAAAAAAGGAAGAAGGTTTTGGATCTGAGAATCAGGGAGAATGATTCTAAAAGCACGGGGTGAGTGTGTGAGGCTGGGAATACAACAGGTTTTTTTCTTTTCTACTAATGGGGTTTTGCTTCCCCAGCATTGATGGCTGGATGGACCTAAAACCAAAAACCAGATGAAGATTTCAGTTGGACTTATGATGTAATAATTCATGAAATATTTGAAACTATCAGAAAGGGAAGAGGAAGTGCCAAACTGGGTTGGAGTGGCCAAGTGGGTGGCCAGTGCACTGAAGCTCACCTCCATATCCAGAGGCTTTTCTTTGCTTCCAAGTTTCTCCAGAAGCTGATCCCCTACACAACATCCGTGAATCAATTCCAAGTCTGCTTCTCAGCCAATGCTCAGCTTCCTTACGTTTCTCCTCTGAATTTCTGGGCCAGTGAGCAAGGAGAACAACAGGAAATGAGGGAGGCACTGCTACATGGCTCTCACGGGATAGCACATTTCCCTTCTCTGGCCTCAAATCCCCATGTCTTTCCTAACCTCTGGTCCTTTCCAAGCTCCACATCTCAGAAGGTGGAGATGCCCTGAATCAAGTGGCAAGAACTCTCTTGATTGTGGAAGCTCAGTCATTTTCATGCGTTTCAGTTCTGTCCTCCTGGCCTCTGGGGCCCTTGTTAGGCTGAGGTAGTTGTGGTGCACTGACCTCTCAGGGGAGTTTGTCCTGTGATCTCTCTAAGTGGAGAAGGCAGGATGGGAATCACAGCTAGCAGGGCTGACTCCAAGGAGACAGAGGATCCCTGAGGTTTCCTGTTGAGATGTTGGGACTAATTTCAGAGCTTCTTAACTTCACTGCAACATCTCAAAGGCATGTTTCCTATTGAGATGTTGGGACTAATTTCACGTAACTTCACTGCAAAATCTCAAAGGGCTTGTTTCTGTTTCACCAAGCAATGGTTATCAAGGGTGGATAAAAATTTATGTGGGTGAATATTTTTGTGTTTGGGAACTTTTACGTTTGGCCATTCTAATGGATGTGTAGTGATATCTTATTATTGTTTTAATTTAAATTTCCCTAATGACATAGGAGGTGGAGCATCTTTTCATATGCTTATTTTCCATCTGTATAGATTTTTCATCTGTCTATTAAGATCTTTGGCCCATTTTTTAATTTGGTTGTTTGTTTTTTTATTATTGTGTTTTAAGAGTTATTTGTATATTTTGGATAACAGCCTTTATCAGAATGTTTTTTGCAAATATTTTCTTCCAGCATATGGCCTCTCTTTTTATTCTCTTAAAATGTCTTTCATAGAGCAGAAATTTTTAATTTTGATGAAGTCCAGCTTGTCAATTTTTTCTTTTATGGATCATGCTTTGGTGTTGTATCTAAAAAGTCATCACTAAAACCTAGATCATCTAGATTTGTTTCCTACGATATCTTCTATGAGTTTTATAGTTTTGCATTTTAGATTTAGGTCTGTGATCCATTTGATTTAATATTTGTGTCTACAAAATAAATATATATATATAATGGAATACTTTGTTGCTATTATTATTTTGAACAAATTGTTATCTGTTAGATCAATTAAGAATAAGAAAAATAATAGTTTTTATTTTATCTCCGCTTATTCCTTCTCCAATGCTCTTCCTTTATTTATATAGTTCAGGGTTTCTGACCTATGTCATTTTCCTTCTCTTTGAAGAACTTTTAACATTTCTTGTGAGGCAGATCTACTGGCAACAAATTCCCTCAATTTTTGTTTATCTGAGAAAATCTTTATTTCTCCTTCACTTTTGAAAGATAATTTCACAGGATATAGAATTCTAGGTTGGTAGGGTTTTTTTCTCTCAATACTTTAAATATTTCACTCCACTCTCTTCTTGCTTGCATTATTTCTGAAGAGAAGTTGAATATGTTAATAATTCTTTTCTTTGTTTCTCTTTAGGTAAAGTATTTTTTCCCCTAGCTTCTCTCAAGATTTTTTCTTTATCTTTGGTGTTCTGCAATTTGAGTCTGATGTGCCC